GCCCCAGCCAGCACTGGTCACTGTCTACACATGTGTTTCGGCACATTAAATGACTCCGCTATAGGATAGTATTTGTCCCTGACAATACTATCCTACAATGGAGTTAATTAATATACTGTACCCTAATACAGGTGCATGTATAGATGGTGATGCTTCACTGCAGAGCTAATTAGTCAGCTTCTCAGTAAAGTGCGCATGTGGATGCACCCTATGTTCTGTAATTTAGCTTCCAGTTTAATAGCAGATTAAATGTAATTTGGCAATTCTGGTTTCTTAAGGTCATAAACTATTTAGGTTCTTGCTACATATAAGAATGTTCTTATAACTTTTTGATATGATTCAGTCTCAATTCAATCTCAACACCTGATGTATGCTGATTTTCAACATGTCTTTATAAATGCAGTTCAAAAGTAGGTAGCAGCCACAGCAGGATGGTCTCTTTCAGACTAACTTGTTCAGACAGTCTATAAGGAACCACGCTGCCCAGCCTTCTGCCTCTCTCCAGACTAACACAGCTAACTACCTCTCTTAGTTCAAAAAGTAATTAACATTCACATGTATCAAAATATCCCTTATTTTAAATTTAGTGCACCAGAATCCGACGTATACATTCAATCTGAATAATACCTTACTCCATGAATTGCTTTACTGAAGTCAGTGAGATTGCTCATAAAGTAATGCGCTACGTAGTATGAGTGTGAAAAGGTCAGAATATGGTATATGTAATATTTGTGACTATTGCTTTCATACGAGTTGGGTGAAAAGTAAAACCATAAAGCTCTCCGTGGTGATCACTTTATCCACACACAAACAATATTTGCCTTTAAACCATCCCCCACTGTAAGTTGCAAGTGATTTTTTCTTGACTATGAATAACTGCTGTTGGCATCATGTTCTTACTAACAACCTCTTGTACACCCTTTCCCCATTTACAATCCCATTCTACCATTTAAATCAGAATTTTTGTCCTGAGTTTAAATCTGCTTCATACTTACAAACCACCCTTGTGAATGGGGTTATGATACTATTTACAATTAAAATTATTATAAAAATTATGAACCAGTAGCATCTCTGACATCATATCCCTTAGTCCTTGAATTGAAATTGTTTTTCCTATTGTGTAAGAAACCTGCAGCCCCATCCATCATCTTTAACTTTCATTTCCTTTTTACTTTTATCACTGTCTAAATTCACAGAAAATCTACAAAATAATAGTTCCTATTAAAACAATGAAAAGAAAGAACCCCAGTGTCATCTGTGTGCCTTTGATGTTCACATGATTTATTATTCACACATCTATTTCAAATCTCTGAAGTTACAAGACATTGATCTATTCCCTTAGTGTCATGATATCTGAATTTTGAATGGGCATAACATAGATCTGATGTCTTTTGCAGCTAGAGAAAGCATGCAAGGAAAGTACTCACTTTCCACAAATATTTGTGTAATAAAGTTTTACTGCTGCAAATATTTATTAAAAAATAGTTTCAAAGTGCATTTGGAAGTATTTATCATTGAATTTTCAATGAACATGTTTGAGAACTGATACTAAGACATTAATCCAACCAGAATACAGAAACAAAACTGTCTTTTTAATGAAAAACAATTAAGCAAAGCAACTCAAATTTTCAACCCCGTTGTCAAATAGTACAAGCTACTTATGATTCATTCATAAAATAAGTATTTTTAATTTGTGAAATAATTTCAGGTGACAGATGATTTTAGGAAATAGCAGTTTAATCACAGAAATTTCATAAGCAGTGACAGAAGTTAATTTCATCTCCCATACTGCATATTGTAATGTCCTCTTATCAGATTTCTTTAATACATCATCTCATTCTCCAGTCTACTCAAAATGTTTCTACTAAGATATTCTTCCTTGTCTACTAATGTAGTCAACTTGCTCCCTGTCTGAAACTCTCTATTTGTTCCTTCTTCTTTTACCTGATAAAGTTTAAGCTAAAGTCCCAATTTTCAGGGCACTTTCCAGTTGTGCACCAACATATTTATCAGTTTTGTCTCTTACTGCATCGTGAGCCATTCCTCTTCTCCCCTATGCTGTGGCAGCTTTGCCTATCTATCTACTTGTCTGCTTTCCTCTCAACTTTCTTCATGCCTTCTTCTGCATGCAGAATGCCCTCTCTGAACTTGTCCTCTCTTTAAAAATAGCTGTGCAAGATCCACCTCTTCCATGACACCAATAAGTAGATATCCAGGAGACTGGCTGACACCAGGCTCCTCCCCATCACATAGGGATTTCTGGTTTTAATTTATGGCTTTTATGTGTAGAAATGTGTATAACATGCATTTCAGTCTTATTTGGTTTGGCTGTACCCATCCTGTGTTTTATCTGTCATTTTTGGGTGCGTCTTAATTCACCCTTTGTATGTTACTTGTTTTTTCATATTCCAGACTCTTTGGAGAAGGGATTGTGTCACTTCAAGTTTGTAGATCATCTTTCAGCTGCAGTCTTGTCTTGAGTCCTCCGGGCACTACCACAATAAAAATAATAATAAAAGTAATGAATTGCACTAGATGCATTATTTTTTGTTAAATAATTATTTAAACAGCTCTAGAAAAAATACAAAGATGAAATAACAGCAAAGATTTTGGAGTACATTTAATGCTGTGAGATCCCTAGAGATTTAAATGATCTGTTTGTTCACAAAAGGTAAAATTTGCACCTTCACAAAATGCCTTAGTTTTGTAAATACAAAATACAGTGGGACTCCTCAAATATTGAGTCCCACTGTAGGGGCTCAGTGCAGCCACTCTGGGGACCCTGATTTATCCCAGAGGTCGAAATGACACTGTTAGGTCCAGTGCCTATATATCTGATGTATGATTTAAATGTCTCTTTTAGCATATTTATCTCTACAGGATGCGTCTTGGGTAGAGAAGTACCATTTCAGTGGAGAACTGAGTCAGAAATAAACTAATTGACTTGTCTAAAATCACAGAAGACTTATGTGGTGGAGCAGGAAGTTGAACAAAAGTCTCTCAAGTCCCAAGGTAGCACTCTAATCTAGCAGGAATTTCCAAGCAGCAAAATCAGTTTGCCTTACTAGCCTGGAAATGCCCATTGGAGGGTACAGTACTCGCTTAATGTATTAGATTCATTCTAGCATTAAAAATAAGGTTGTTTGATTTAAAAATTAACTTATGTAACTGCCTGTTCAGCAGCCAGCCACATGGTCTTGAATGAACAAGACACACTGAAAGGGTTTTAGAGCCCATCCTATAACATACTACGATATACCTGACCATATAATTAACTGTGAACAGAGGCATTGACTACAAGTGCTTCTGAAGCACTGCTGCCAAAGGGTGCATAGGGAATACAGTAGTCATTATAACCAGGCAGTGGCAACTCTGGGACTACAAAGCTTTGCTGAACACTAGGAAGTCAGTTATATCAACCTGCTAAGCAGTTAATGTCCTGTCACACACATCTGTGTTTACTACCATCAGATACTCCCAGCTGTTCATCTTGCCTATGTTTGATGGTCATTCTGGGACCCTCATGATGTTGAGAAGCCTGTTACAGAGAAGTACAATTTCTCACTAAAGATAGATGGAGTATCTCTAAAATTGAAGCAATATTATGTAAGTGACTGCACACACAAAATTATAAATGGTAAATTAATTTGGCAGTCTTAATTATTCCTTTTTATATGTCCCTTCTCTCTATTCTTATTTTCATAAATACCATGACATTTTTTAAATGTGAACTTTAATACTCATGGAAATGAGGGACTGATCTCAAGGCCTGAAGCTAGGCAAAGGACTTCAGGAACTATTTAAGCTTTCATACACAACCTCTTCTAATTAATAAACCATAGTCCTGACCCCAAGTATCTCATCCCTGAGCTTCTCCTGGACCAACACTACCAACAGTGCTTACTTGTACAGAGAGTTTGTTTTTGGCAAGTCAAATGAAAGTACTAAACACATTTTAAAGAGTTTTGAAATGCTTTCTTCCATATGTTGAGATGCTGGGAAAAGTTTATGCTCTGCTCTACTAAGCCCCCACCATGCAATCACCACTTGAGGGGCCTTGCACTGAACGAGATGTGAAGTCTCATGTATATGAAGTTATGCACGTGTATAGCTTTTATATCACAAATGTTAGAGGCAAGCTAATTAAATATTGACACAGAGAACATGTGTATTAAAATTTCTTTTTATTTAAAAAATATTACAAAGGAGGAAATTATCAACATATACCCGCAAAAGACAATTGGAGAAGTTCCCTAGCAATGACATCACAAAGAAGCATTAAAGCTTTTCCTTCAGAGCTTATGGCAAGACCATAGCTCTTGCCTTCTCCAGAAGCATCTGGGCTGGGCTGCTCCCAGCTTCTCAACTCCCTCTCACCCAGAATTTCCTTTTAACTAAAAACAAATATCCTGTGATTCAAACTGGCCACAACATTGTCAAGTCTACTGCTTTTTCCCCATAGGAGAAGCATATATTCTGTTCCCTTCACAATATAGAAGAGACAGAAATCAGGTGTAGTAAACACAAAGGGAATTGTTTATTCAGGATGCAGGACACACGCATGCTCGCTCTCCTTGTCTCTCTAGTCTGCAGACTGGAGAGCATAGCATATGTTGAACAGTATCATTACACAAGATCTGTCTAATTCCTGGCCCAGATTATGCAGTCATGGAATGGGTTGCTAATTATATTACTTTAACAAATCCCTTTGCTTCTGCTTTTGGGAAATACTGAAGTACAGTTTCTGCAAGAAACTGAGACATAAGCATGCTGCTTAGGTCAAAATGCAGCTGACACCCATCACAGGACAAGTAAATTAGGCCTAAATAAATGTGGGAACAGCAGAGTAATTCATCACCTCAGCTAAAGATGTGATGATCACAGACTGCCACACCTGAAAGCAATATGGCTCTCATACCTGAATTCCATTTCCTGAACATCACAAACTTTGAGCCAAAGGGTTTGAACCTCTTCTCAGGTTTAAACAACGGAGCCTGTGATAAACTGCATTGCATCCTACTGTAAGGTACATATTAAGGATTGATAATATTTGTCTCTCTCCTGGTCACATTGCAATACAAAATCTTTTCACTTTATAGTCTAAATAGAAGCTGATAACTTTCTGATGATCCCTGTATAGTTTCTGACAGATTTTTGTTCCAGAGTGTACACACTCAAGAATGCTATATTGTAAAAATTGAAGCCTTGAATCCTACACTATTTATGGGAAATAAAATGAAAGTGATGCTAAGGTTATCATCCTTCTTTCTTCTCAACTGTGTACTTGAAAAGGCCCAATTGTGTAACTGTTGCAATGCAAGACCTACATTAGGTTTAATTCTACTCTCACCCCAGAATAAATTAAGAGCAACTCTACTGAAATCATAGAAGTTAAGTTTATGCAAAAAAATAACTAGATGTTGCTTGAAATCTGCCACAGGAGAAGCAAGATCTAATATCAACTTTAGATTGACTACTTATCTGTGTAAGAACTATTCATAGAAGTAGAAACATTTAAGATTGGGCCCAATTTTGAATATTAATGTTATAGACTGCTCTGGTCTTGCTAAATCTTTTCTTGGCCACCTCATTTACATTTTTGTAGTATGTGATATTCTGACCCTTAGTGCATTGAATGAGAATTGTCTGTTAGAATCCCTGAGTCTATTGCTAAAAGAACTTCCTCATTTGATGTCTGTGCATTTATTATTATGCACAGACTTTCCCCCTCACACCCCAAAAAAGGAATTGGGCATTTTCTTAGGCCTTTATTCTTTGCAGAAAAAAGATGAAAATGCATTTTTGATTTTTCACTTCTGTTTGAAAGTATGCTTTTCTCTAGTATACTTATTTGATATAGGCCTAGTTTTACCCAGTTGGAGCAAATTTTGGAATAGTCTTTCAGGAAAAATAATGGGGGCAAAACAACCTGAAATGCTTTAATATCGAACTGAATAATTTCAGGGAATGGTTATTATGATGAAAGAGGAGTTCTGGCTCAATCAGTATGTGTAATATATGGAGTCATATGTTTGTGGTCCCTAGGCTGGGGTATAAACAGACCTTTTGTAATGTGCAAGGTGTCTAGTAATCCTGCCAGGGCTTTATCTGGGTGCCAAGTAGGGCTAGATCAGAATTGTCTGCTGATGGTTTCTGGGGTTCACTTTCACCTTCCTATGAAGCATGGGAATATGGGTCATAGCTAAGGCTTGAGGGGAGTGGGGGCAGGAGAGGGATGTTTACTATGTTGTGTTGATGGGTCTACTAGAAAGCCCAGAAATTTCTGGCTACAGGGTCTTGCTCCTCCACTCAGGATTACACTGATTGCCAAATTGGGAGTTAGGAAGGTGAAGGGTTTTGCCTTCCATGGTAGCATGGGGCATGGTCCTTTTTCCTAGGATTTTTTGATCATATGTTATTTATTAATTCATTCAATTTATATGTCACCCTTCCCAACAGGGTAGAGCCTTTTGCAACCCCAAACATAATTTAAAACTTAGATTGAAAAATGATTAGCCTGTCTGAAATGAATTTACATGTATATGCCATAATTTCATGCACAGGCACAGACACTTTCAATCAGGCCTTAAGGACTGCCTTGAAAATATTAACTAGCCAACTCCTTCCCTGTTGTTAGTGGGGGGACATCAGCAGTGCTTTGTACTCCCCTGCTTTATGTATGGCATGCTATAAGGTGGTGGTAGTGTCAGGTATTGTATCCCGTAGCTGCGGATACGGGTTTGAAATAGTGATTTTAGCAATTCCTTGGATAAGCAATTACCTGAAAATACAGAAGACTGGACTCAATGGTCCAGGAGGCCCTTTCCAGTCCTATGTTCTTAAGCCATTGATCACTAATAAGTTGTCTTCTTACTACATATGCATAAGTGACAGTATCCATACCACATTATGGAAGAGTAAGAGTGATGATTGCAAGTCTGTATTTATTGATAAGTGCTTTTCATTTATTTTTTACCTTTTCTCCTTACATATTTCTCTGAGGGTAACCAGAGCTGGTACTCTTTTCCCCTTTGTTTCATATTGTGTATATGCTGTGGAAAGATATGAAAAAGTTGTTTACATCACCTTGTGTGACAGTGAGACATTGCTTGTTTTGACATCTAGGTGAAGATATAAATACATTTATAAAATAATTTTTAAAAATGGGTTGTCAGTGAAAACAGTGATGGCTGAGTAATGACAAATGGCTGCTAGCTTGGCAAGTGTTAAAATAATAAATATGTTTATCACCAACTCATTTCACTGTTACTGACCAAAACTAGTGGGTTACTTTATGGGGATCAAGTGAAGAGCTACATCTGTAGCAGAATGATCTTTCCCCTGTGTCGTGTGAAGACTGGGTAATGCTTTCAAAACACCCCACGATGACACCACTTACAAGTGTACTTAACCTCATACTTTATTGTTTTACTTCACTGAGCTCATTCATGGTAGGAAAGTTAATAATCAGCATTCTTCTATTGCACTTTCCATTTGTAGATCTTCAGGGCTTTACAAGGGTAGCAAGTAGATTTTCCCCTGTTTTAAAGATGAGGAGAAACTGAGGCATATTAAGAAGACCTCTTTGCATAAGGTAAGTGTGCAGAGAGTTGTTAGAGCCACAAATTGACCCTTTGCCTCCTGAGTTCCACTCCAATGTTGTTCGATCACACTGTCTCTATTCGTTAACCCAAGCAGATGTGTTTGTAGGCATATCCAATAGTATGGCTATACTGCTTCTGATTGCACTTAAGCACATCTACCCACCTGTTTGTGCTTGTATTTTTACTAAACCCAGAACTGTGGCAAGGGAGCTGTTCTATGGCAGCTTTCAAGCATATCAGAAACTGGTCTCTAGAGCAGCTCCAGGGAGGGATGCTCCTGGAGCATCCCCACCACCATATTTGGGATATGTAAGCTGGAGGAGGTGAATGGGGAGTACCGAAGCATCGGTCTTGAAGAGCACCATGCAAGCAGCATAGGCAGCCCCTTAGTAGGCAATGTTCTTCAGTCAGTAGGTGCTTTTGAAAATTGTACCCTCTGCCACTAAGTAAGGTCCATTTGTCATTCACACAGGCAGATACTTTTTGCTCATGTGGAGGCACACTGATTTCAACAATGCACCTCAGCAGGTCTGAGTGCAGGTTTGGAGTGCAATATGCCACTGCAGAGGGAAGTGCATCATGCTGGTTTAAAAGATTTTATTTTAAATATATGACAGGCTCATTTACTGTTAAGTATTAGACCTGTATTTAAGAACAATGTTGCTATTAAGAAGTAAGTCCTTTCTGCTGATGAAGTGATGATATGCTTCTGTTCATTGACTTTACTAACATTTAGCAAGTAGAAAAGCAGAATCTCATTTCAGAGAATAGCTCCATAATTTCATGCACCTACCATAAAAACAAGCAAATTGACACCCTGCCAGGAGTAGCCAGAGGAGATCTTAGAAGAGAGTTCATAATGATACTGTTGCCATATTGCATGCCTGTAAATAATTCATTAAGTCAACCACCCTTTTGTTTTAAGCAAACATGAGCAGATGCCTTTTTAAATTGGATGCAGACAACGGTTTTCAGCAAAACATTACTGTAATATGACACTTAAAAAGAGTAACATTTTTCTCACATTGATTTTTGTACTATTACTGACTCTGATAATTCACAGTGATTATTTGTTACTCGCCAAATCTGTTGTGTTGGGTTTCCTTCCCACGCACCCCCAAACGTTTTTCAGACTCATGTTTTGTGCTAGGTTTTGTAGTTTCCGTGATGCTGTAACTATCTAACAAATTCAATGCAATAAACAATATATGAAGCAATACGTTTTATGACCCTGAAATATTAACATTTTTTGTATAATATGAAAGTGCTGTTCAGTCATTTTTAGCCCTGGTTCCTGAAGCTATCTGCTTTTCTGTTTGGAAAAGGAGTAGTCAAGTAATTAAAAGACATGAAACAATAACATTTGTGGGGGGTGGAATAAAAGGGTAGTGTCTACATAGCAGATGATCATTATTTTAATTTATAACATTTAGTTCATAAAATGAAATCATATATTTGAAAATATCATAATCATAAAGTGTGGAGGTGTGTTTAAAAAAAACCAACAAAAACAAAAAACCCTTTCTTATTTCTAACCTTGTTCTATTCCCTTCATCTCCCCAGCAGTGTGGGAAAGACCTTCATAGTGCACTATTACTCTTAATCCTACTTGTTATTTCTAGTTTGGATTTTACAATCCCCTTTTTATGTTAGCACTTTTCTGTTTACATGGTCACACAGTATGAACTTGACAAAATTTTGATTCCATCCATCTTTTAATCAGCGGAACCATAATGAAAGCTTTAAATTTAAACAAGGGCATCATGTGTATAAAAAATTAAGCATAGATGATAAAATTGCAAAAGGATGGTGGTCCTGTAATATACTAACACACAAGTATGTTGTAACCATTTAAAAACAAATCTAACTCTCTCATGTTGGGCAAAACTTGTTACATTTCAAGCAGTAAATAAGTGTTCATTTCAAGTATGTGGTTTTACTGTGATAGCTTCTTGCCCTTCAGACATTGCTTTAAGAGCAAACCCCAAACAGATGTTCTGAGTATTATTAACTAGTAAATAAAATGGAATGTATAAGCATGTTTTATTGATCCATCTAATGTTTCAGAAGGGCTACAGTGGGCTTTTACACATTTTGTAAGACTTTACAAGCTATAAACCACAAATCCTTTGCATGTGAATTATACAACTTTCATGCTGTAATGAAGTACTTAAAATGTGTTTTAAGAAAAACACTGCATAAGATTTTATTGCTATTATTATTATTATTATTATTATTGAGCCTGTTGACCACTGCATTATTTCAGTTTTATATTGGCCTGGCTGGAGTTAGTGGTGAATTGGACTCATTATTTCTATTTATCTTCTTTTAGGTTTCCTTATTATGGCGTATGCTTCCCTCCTCCCCTCCCCCCCAACCAAAATCTATAGTGGAATATACCGTTTTGTCTCTGAAAAGTATTATGAACAAACAGAACATATGTGCAGTAAAAATATAAATAACAGATTCTAACTCCAGAAGGCATCACCATGTTAACTATTCTATGTATACCCTGTAATCACAGAATTTACCCTTCTTCTTGGGTAAGTTAGCCTGCACTAAGCTCTGGCCATAGGTGACTGGTAGGGGGTGCATGGAGGTACACGTGCCCCCCTCATGAGTCTGGTGCCCCCCCTGACAGCCAACACCAATGCTGTTGGTAGGGCTTGTGCCTCCCCCCCACCGACAGGGCCGCTGCTATTGGCAGCTTCTGCAGGTGCCCCCTCTCCAGATTTGGAAGGCACCAGTCACTCGTGGCTCTGGCTACTATCACTGAACTGCTACTCCTAATCAGCTTGGCTCACTTCAAGCTTGTCTGGCTGTCTCTGTAGTAACTCGTTCAATACCTATATAGAAATGCCCTTAGTCTGAATTTCCCCACCACAAGCCATACAACCTCATCAGAAGACCTCATCTGGAAACAACTCAAATGAGGTGTCAGTATAACAACATCAGTGACAATAAAATGAAAACATTTATACCCAGAACTTTCAGTCCTAGTTATAGCTAGGTACAGACACTACGCCTAAACTGGTTTAAGTGATTGGAAATCAACCTCTACCCACAACAGAAGTTCAGTGCATATAGACTAGTCTAAAAATGGCAGAACCTGGGCTAAGATGGACCTGGATCAACGTGCAGGGAGGTACACTAACACTCAGCCCATGCTTGGCGGCTCTGGCCAAGCACCTGGGGACCCTGCCCCTAAGCTCTCCCAGAATTGAGCCAGCAAAGCCTTTCTCCCCATCCCCACTTCCTGCCTCTGGCCATTTGTTAGCCACAGTCACGGGGAGGGGGGGAGGGGTAAGGGAGGCATTTGTGTCCCTTGCATGAGCCCTGGGACCTGGGCACTTGAGTCCCTGGGTTGTACCCCCACAACCCACCATGAAGTACCCCATGATATACACACAGACCTGATAATGAGCCTAAGAGAACTGAACAGCCCTGTAGACACTGACCCTGGCTCCTGCACACCCAGCCACAGACATCTCCCACCCCCATGGCCCTGTGCTTGGACATAGCCCCATGGACCCCACTCCTGAGCTCTCCTAGAGCCATGCCAGAAAAGCCACACTCCCCAGCCCTGCCTCCTGACTCTGGCCATCTGTTAGTTGCAGGCAGGTCGGGGGGCAGTGGTAGAGGGGAGGGAGTGGTAGAGGGGCAGAAGGCATTTGTCCCCTATTCAAACTCAGGTACTCACACTGCATCATGAAGCCCTCCATGATGTACACATAGATCTGACACTGAGCCCATAGACTTTAACCCTGGCTCCTGCATACCCAGCCAGAGATCCCTATGGCCACACATGGTCACAGCACCACTGACCCCAACCCTGGCTTCCACATACCACATCTCAGAAGCCAGAAACTCTTTTCAGGCCTACAGCTACAGTGTCCTGGAGTACTAGGGTGGGGGTATGTGGGAGGGGCACTGAGTATCCAAGCCAGGTCAAGCAAGTGGATGCCCCTGGAAAATTCAGGAGCAGGTGGGGCATGCCCAGCTGCCTTCATGTTGCAGGTAGGTAGAGGACACTAGAAATTTCTAGACCGGGACTTGGGGCATTGCCAGAATCACAGGATATCTGCTGGAAACCCCTAGAAAGTTTGAGGTTATTGGGGTTTCCTTACCAGTGGAGCCCTGGTCACTCTGGAGCAGAGGCTGTAACCAGCTACAGTGAGAGGGAGAACCATGTCCTAGGACCCACACCTTTGTGCATCCTTCTCTCTTTCCATCCATCCACACTTCCAGCCTTTCTGGCCTCCTTCCAGCCTTCTGTTCACCCCCTTTCAGCTAGACCCTCACTCCCATGGACACTAAGGCACCACAGGCACCATGGACAACTCCATCCCATCCTCCTCCATTACCCAACCCCAGTCACACAACTGGGACTAGGGGGAGATAATGGATCTTGTCACTATCTGCAGGGAGGAGACCCAGCACCAGCTCCAGAAAGGGCACTGGAACAGGGGTGTCTTCAAGTATGTCACCCAGCAGATGCAGGTGTGGGATCACAAAAGGGACTGGGAACAGTGCTATGTCAAGACCAAATGGATAAAGATGCAGTATAGGTGTGTTCATGATGCCAACAAAAAAGTCCAGGCCCTGAAGGCATATCATACTCTTCTATGAGGAGCTGTCCCACGTCCTCACCAAGGACAGGGCTATCAAGACCCCACACACCTATGGCAGCCCTGGGGGGCAGGAGGAGTTGATGGCAGGGACTCCACTGGGGAAGGAGGTACAGGCAGGGTCCGGGACAATAGGACAATTGGGTTCTTGGAGCAGGTCCCCAGGGGGTACAGGGCAAAAGGACAGCTGCTGGATCCAGTCTATAAGTCTACTCCATTGGTGCTAGTCCCTGCATCATCACAGGATGTGGAACCTGATGTGCACCTGCAACTGGATATGAGCTCCCTTGATAACTTCTTGGCATGGCCAAAAGCAGGGGGCACAGCACACTGGAAAGGGGGGAAAGCTCTGATACCACAGAAAAATTGGGATCCAGGACCTGGAGTCCAAGCCTGTGCCCTTCACCTTACAGGAACCCCCCACCTCAGGTCCTCAACCCCAAAGGCCACAGCTGAGCATGCGGATCTCAGTACATTTTTCCCTGCACTGCTGCTATGGGTCTTCTAGACCCCCTCCTCCAACACCTCACTGCCCTCTTCCCAGACATGCAGTCCTGAAACTATTAAAAAAGGTGTTCACAGAAGGCATGTTTCACAGAAGTATAGGTGAAAATTTTAAACATATTTAAATACTTTGGTTTGGTTTGATTTGGTTGCATTGATCAGTTGAGTAGATCAGTAGGTGTCAGCCTTTTTGGCAGGCATACCACAAATTAGTTCCTCCTTCTCCTTGAGTGCCACTCTGATCACCTTCCTCTGCCTGATCTACAGCTCTGCTTCCTGCTCTGTCTCTGCCTCATCTGCATCTCTGCTTTCTGCTCCCTGCCCTATCTGCCACTGTTTTCTTGTCTCTCCCATATGTAGGTTGCCCCTGGAATAAATAATGTACAGTATCTAAAAAGCTGGGTCAATGAATAAGAAGTCTTTTATCACCTGTTTTTTTTCCTAACCATTACTAAAGACTGTCTAGTTTATTTTATAGATTCAAATGGACACTTTAGTGCACAGTTAAATTTGCATATTTAAAATACCTTTGAAATTTTAATCACAATATTATTGTTCATTCATTATAACACTTTCAAGAAATAATAGCAAAGTGGACTTGCTGTTTCATGTCCATAATCAGTCTGAACATTAACATTTTAAAAGATGAGTAAAAATTGATCTGTTTGTGATCCAGTGGCTAAGGTACTGAATTGGGAGATGAAAGACCTTGGTTCTGTTCCTGACTCAGGGTGCTGACAGAAGGGATGGTTTGGCATGTGATTGGGCCCCTGAAGTGCTCTACAGCCATGCACTGACAGAAGTCCATGGCTGTACAGTCGAGCAAAAATCTGAACTGTCATTACCCGAGGGTTCAGATGAAGGCATGTCAAAGCAGAGCACCTTCATTAACACCTGTCAGTGTCTACATACACTACACAGCCCAGTCCTGCTCCTGGTGCTATCTTCAGGATGGGAGGGGGAGAAGGGAGAGGAGTGAGTTCCATATAGGGATTGCTCAACCTCTGCTGGAGGGTGAGGTTCATGGATTGGAGCCCCCCTACGGTGGGGAAGGGCTCCAATCCACCTGCCCCCCCCTCTAGCTAAGGCTGGGAAAACCCCAGACCAAGCTCCCTCCACTCCCTTTACCCTCTCCCTTTCTGAAGGCAGCACTGGAGCTGGGAAGGGGGAGGGGCTGGGGAGAGTGGATGCAGACATGCAGGCACTTCAAACTGGAGCTTGCTCCTCCAGCCCCTGGGACCCAACAGACAATGTATTTTGGGTCTAGGGAACACTGTAACTCATGGCACTTCCTGAGAAGTGCTGTGAGTTATAGAATCACAGAATCATAGAAAATTAGGGTTGGGAAGGACCTCAGGAGGTCATCTAGTCCAACCCCTTGCTCAAAGCAGAACCATCTCCAACTAGATTATCCCAGCCAAGGCCTTGTCTAGCTGGGACTTAAAACTTTCCAAGGGTGGAGAGTCCACAACCTCTCTGGGTAACCTGTTCCAGTATTTTACTACCCTCCTGGTGAGAAAGTTCTTCCTAATATCTAAGCTAAACTTGCCTTGCTGCAACTTGATACTGTTGCTCCTTGTTCTATGTCTGCCACCACTGAGAACAGTCTAGCTCTTTTGAACCTCCATTTATGTAGTTGAAGACTGCTATTAAATCCCCTCTCAATCTTCTCTTCTCCAAACTACATAAGCTCAGTTCACTCGGCCTCTCCTCATAAGTGATGTGATTCAGCCCCCTCACCGCTTTTGCTGCCCTCTACTGGACTCTCTCCAATTTGTCCACATACTTTCTGCTAGGGTGGGGAGGGGGCAAAACTGAACATAGTACTCCAGATGTGGCCTCAGCAGTGCTCAATAGAGGGAAATAATCACTTCCCTTGATCTGCTGGCAATGCTGCTACCAATGCAGTCCAGTATGCCATTATGCTTCTTGGCCAGGGACCAAAGTTACACATAGACCAGTTTAAGTGATCAGAAACTGGTTTAAACCTGTAACAGAACAGAAGTTCAGTGCACATAAACCAGTTTCAAAATGGCCACAACTGATTTAAAATAAACCTCATTGATTGTAGTATCAGACTGAGTTGATTTGTATCGAACCAGTTTATGAAACTTCTATAACAGACCCCTTCCTGGATTAAGTTAAATCAGAGTCTCCCGACATGCTTTTCAACCTTGGGTTGGGCTATGCTTTCTGCTCCAGAGAGAAGGGTTGGCCTCACCCCTCTGCTCTCTAGCCCGAGCAGGGGCAGAGGCATGGCCAGATACCAGCCAGCAAGGCCCCCTGAGGCAAAGGGGGCAAGGAGAAAGTTTATTTTCCCCTCCCTCCCCTCTTCCCCCCTGGGGAACCCCAGCTGGGGTCTGCTTGGCCAGGCATGCATGGCAGAGGCAGTGGCCAGGGCTGCTGACAGAGCTGGTCGTGCTGCTCCTCCCCCCCTGCCCCCCTGCCTAAGTGGTTGTGAGGGGAAATGCCTGACAGGGGTTGCTCCACCCTGGCCTGGCAGACCCCAGCTGGGGTTTCTGAGGGGGGGGGAATAAACCCCCTT